GGAGACAACTTCTTCTCTTTAAGAAGTAGTCTTGAACCTCCTAACTCCACAGTTTATTGCTGAGAGCTTGAGCCAAAGGCTTGAGCCAAAGGCTACGGAAAACTGGGAAATGGTACAAAAGACTTCCTTGGATGACATGACAAAACGAAGTAACCAAAAAGCGAGTGAGCAGACAACCAAAGAAGGTAATGTCTAAGGACACCCCCTTCAAAAGTCGAGAAAGCAGTGACGGCCAAAGTAGCGCCAAACAGTTATGCGAAAAACTCTGTAAAGCTAGCAAGGCCAAACAAAATTCCCAAAAGATGTCTAAGGACACCCCTTTGAAAAGGCTTGCGTAAGGCAGCGGACAAAATTTGCAATCAAATGATGTCTAAGGACACCACTTGAGGATGTACGATGTCTAAGGACACCGCACTGCAGTGTAATGAAAGATGACAAACAGAGCCTAAGCGCAAACTAACCTAACTACGCGTACCGGCACGGAGACAACTGCTTCTCTTTAAGAAGTAGTCTTGATCCTCCAAACTTGAGCCAAAATGGCTACGGAAAAACCTCACTCTCTCCTTCAGTCTTGCTCACGCACAAGTGTGCGCAGTGCACCTCTGGTGGGACATCTTCCTACCAACAAGCAGAATGCATTTTTCGTCCTGGACATCATGTACTGAGAGCGGCTTGAAAGGAATTCATCGCCCCGTTTCACTTCTGTGTTGATCTTCGGATCTGCACCTTTTGGCTTTTCAGACTTACAAAGTTTCAAGACTCGCATGCCCAACATCTCGTTGTCAATGAGCCAGTCTGCCTCGTGCGAGGACTCCTGCAGCCAAGGGCCACGCTTCAAGAGGCCACTTCGGTCAAGCGCAGTGTTTCACCGTGATTGCAAGAACGCTTGAGCAGCAGCTCAAGCAGAGTCAAATGAAACACTCAAGGCCATCATGCCAGTTTTGTGGCAAAATTGCACGGGTAAGGGCGCTATGTGTGCCGAGAGGCACAAGTCACCGTATCGAATTCACTTGAGGGGTGCGAGGAAATGAGCCTGACCTAAGAGAGCAACAGAACCAAACCCAAAACACCACAAAGCCACCACCAAAAAACCCAAACCACAAAGCAACAGAGACCAAGCAAATCAGGCTCATGTCCGCTCCACAGCAAAGTCTGCAGGTCCTTGCGTAGCTCCTCGTAAAATCTTCAGCCTCAACCGTCCCACTACCGCCTTGATTCGGCGGGAGAAGATGAATCCACACTGGTGCATCGAACTGATGGCATTTGTCAAAGGCGCTATGCTCAGCATATTTTTTTTTGCACGGGTCGAGGGGGCTGTGTGTGCAGAGGATGCACAAGTCACCTTGTGCTGGTAAAAGAGAGAGATACGAACCAAGCGGCAAGCCGAAACCAGAACAACAAACCCCAAACCAACAAACCCAACCAAAAGGAGGCAAGATTCGTACCTCAAGTTGGCTGCGTCAGCCAGTAGAAAAGTGATTTCAGGCTCAAGACTACGCTAGGACAGTGGACTCTCGCGATGGTCGAAGACAACATGTCCCTATGCAGCTCCCCGGTGAGTGAAGAAAAATCACTTGCTGCACCTCATCCTGACCACCTTTGGTGGAGAAGAAATCCAATTGACAATAGAATTCCACGAAGGGGCACTAAAGGCACCGAGGACTGGCAAAAAAAGAGAGAGATGCGAACAAGGCCGCAACAAGAAACCAGAAAACCAAACCCCAAAAAGCAACACAACCACATCCAAGCCGCAGGCAAGGTTCGTGCCCCAAAAGAAAGGTGTGTGAGACCGGGGCTGTGAATTCATCCCAGCACACAATCATTGGGTTCGGCTGCTTCTCAGCCATCAAGATTGAGTTTCTAGCCAGCAGTGGTGGTTTCACTGAAAGAGGCTGTATGAGCACTTTGAAATCTGTTGCATCCTTCGTGCGATGAGTTTTTCAGCTTTGCACCCGAAGTTCCTTCTTCAAATGAGGCTTCATCGCTCAGTACACGGTGTTGCAAGGCATGGGTGGACCTTGATCGGCGACTTGAGGTTCTACATTCAAGAAAAGGCAGTGTCCTTTGAATCCTTCTTCGGGGCAGCAAACTGGAGACAGGGAACTTGGGACAGGAAACTGGAGACAAGGAATTTGAGACAGAACTGGGGACGGGAACTGGAGGCAGGGGCAGGAAACTGGGAGGCAGTCGGCTTACACAGCCTTGAGACACAAACCTTGCTCCCATTTTTGTGTATTGTTTGTGGTTGTGGTGTTTTGTTGGGTTGGTTGTGTTTTGGGTTCCTTGGTTTGGTGTCGCTGCTGGGTTCGTATCTCTCTCTTTCCTGGACTGAGGTGACTTGTGCATATTCTGCACACACAGCGCCTCGACCCGTGCAAAAAAGCAGGAAACTGGGAGGCAGGGAACTGGGGGCAGCAAACTGGGAGAAACTTGGGACAGGGAAGTGGAGACAGGGAACTTGGAACAGGAAATGGGGACTGGAGGGAAGAGAACTGGAGTTGGGACAGAGAACTAGCAGGGAACTGGGCTGATCTTCAACTTTCACTTTATGACGTGATGATGACGTACTGAGTGCAAAGGCTGAACTCATCGCCCCTCGCTTACCTTTCTCAACTGGCTGACATTGCCGGCTCGAGTTACGAACCTGGCCTTTGTTTTGGGCGTGGTTTTTGTGGGTTTTTTGTTTTGGTGCGGTGCTTGGCTTCATGGTTCGTAACTTTCTCTTCACTGCTTAAGGTGACACATAGCGCCTCGACCCGTGCAAAAAAAACACATGGCGTCCGCACTTGTGCCAAAAAAACCGTTTGCTGGCAGCTCAACAATTCGCAGCTGGCGGCAGGTTTGCCAAGCAAGAGCTCCAACAGTGTGCAGATCAACGAGGACATGTCGCAATTCCCCCGCGCATGAAATCTGCACTTCTCGCTGCCTCCACAAAATCATTTCTTTTCAAGTTTTCCAAGACCACGAAGATCCCACGTGGGCTTTCTCCCAACTCCCCTGCGGTTGCCACGAAAAATTGTTTGTGTTGAAGCTGCTCTTCGGGCACCTGGAGTTTGGCGCGAAACACAGGCCAGAGTGCATTTTGTTTCTGGTCGAGACGCACGTTTTTGTAAGACTTGCCGCTTCACTTTTGGGAAGTCTCGTGCAAAAGAGCCCTGAGGAACCTGCATTGGAAAACATCAATCTTACGATTGGTCCAAAAATTTTTCAATGATTGAAAATGGTCAACTTGTCGACATTGGTTGAATGTTGATCAATGCTGATGAAACGTAGTTCTGCGGATGGTTTTTCGCGAAGAACTCTTCGCAGGCGGTCTTGGGAAAAGGAAATGGGAAAATATCAATGAGAGAACAACACATTGCAGACGCGGAATCTCATGAGTGGAGGATTGCAGGAGGCAGCAGATGTGGCAGAAAAGGAGATGGAGGTGTCAAGAATTGTTAGAATGTGCAATCATGCGGAAAAATTTTCAGACAGATCACAAACAGGTGTAATTCCAATCTCTGGGAACCCAGTTCTTGAGAGAGATGATCAAGCCCGCAGAGAAACAAGAATTGATTTGGAAAAAAACTATGGTGGCAAAGTCAGCTCAAAGAAGCATGGAGTTTCACAGTGCCGACAAGGGTGCGAACCATTTCATTTCCCATGTAAGCCACAGGAGAGTACAGCATAACTGGCATTATGTCGGTCATTCTCACCTGACTGCAGCCTTTTTGTGAATCAAAAAAGGTGCATACTTTGATTCTTTATTGAAATTAACAGACCTGCCGCAGTCCCTCTTTCAACGTTCATCTTGCGCAACCTTGCCATGAAGCATCCTCAAGTTTTAAGGCTGTCAAAAATGCATGTTGTTTGCCCTTCCGAAACTTGCATCGGCTCCTTGTCGAACAGGCGGTTTGTGAACAGAGGGGCACACATGACGTATTTATTGCATGGAAGTTTGGCAGCGTTTTGGAGATTTGTCGGAGTTTGTGTTTACAATCGATTTTGAGAAAGAGCTTGCACATGGGCCCTGTGGTTCACACACATTACTTGCGATCATACGCTTCAACGTGAACCGGGGTCGTCCGTTGAACAAAGCTGGTTCGGAAAAAAGTCCAGTTCAAAGTTCAGTTGGGACAAAATAACCCGTTCTTTTTGCACAAGTAATTGCATTGCTGTATCAAGAGCGAAGGAGATCAAAGTCTTGGACAACCCGTGTAAAGATACCAAAGTTGTATGACGCTCATTATGTCATGTTGTTGCACATTTCTGCACCTTTTCCAGACATGGACCTCTCTCACGGAAAACTCGTTCTGGCAGGAATGGGATCGTGCGTCGTTCGCTTGGCCTGTTGACCAGGTCCTCAGCCATGAAAGCAACTCATGCTCAAGGAGTCCTCTCTTCAAAAGACCTTTGAAATTTGGTGCCGAACCTTTGGCCCCCCTGCAATAAACAGACCATGTGGGACCTGCTGCCAAAGGAGAAATCACAACACTGCACCAGTGAGACCTTCTGAAGAGATCCTGTGTTTGCACACAAGCAAGGATCTGACAAAATATTTCATTGCTCAACGTGATATATTGAAGCCACCCGACGTTTGCTCAATACTTGAAAGGTTGTGGGAAAAAATCCAGGACGAAAATGAAGAAGACCGAGGAAAATTGTTCAGTGCGAAAAAACAGTTGTTCAATGATCCCGACTTCATGGCCATCATGAAGGATGTGCTTTTCAGGTTGGACCGTTACAAAGCCAAGGATTTGCCAAGATTGATTGCAGTATTAAACTCAATGCGTTGGAATGACCGGCAGCTCTTCAAAATCGTCGAGCCAGCGGTGATTCGAGAAATGCCCTCCATGAGCGGCATGGGTTTGTCTCAAGTAGCAACTAGCTTCACAGGAGTTGGCTGTGGCAGTCAATTGCTTTTCAATCAATTGGTCCAATGCTGTTTTCAAACTGCAGATCAGTTTACGGCAGCAGAGGTGGCGATGCTTGCAGCTGCCTTTTCAAAAGCCCCGCACCAGCCGAAACAGTTTTTGTTGGGCTTTGCTCCGTTGGTTTCCAGACACCTGTCTGCCTTCTCTGACAGTCAACTGCAGGATATAGTTCAAGCCTATTCATTGTGGCCAAGCAAGGTTTCACAAGACTTTATTGAAGAGATCCTACACTTGGTTGAAGAGCGAGTGCAAAGTGAGATGATGTGTTTGCCTACCTTGGTGCTATTCTTGCGTTTTTTTGTCCTTTGGAAATCTCGCGGTAAAGCTGCTAGGGACAGGATATACAGAACAGGAGCAATTGGAGAAATTGAGGAAGGCAGCAAGCCAAGTTGGACTTTTGCCATGTCTCGGGTCTTCCTACTTTCAACCGAACGGCTACGGCTTTGTTGCAGCTCCCTGACAGTTGAGCAAGCCAGTGATGTCATGTGGGCTTATTGCAAACTGCAGCCGCATGGAACTGTCCCCAAGGGGCTGTTTGAGCTTTTGTACAACCACATACTGCAGAACTTCTCCAAGCTTCCAATGCCGAGGTTAGTTCAATGCCTGTTGAATACAGCGAGAGGCCTCTCTGGACACTTTCGCTTTTGGGATGAGAGTGTTTCCGTCCATCCCCGTCGAAACTGCCATCGGTTTGCATTCAGGGACAGGCGGTTGTTGCAGCAAGCCGAGTCTCAAGTAGTGAAGGAAGTGGCTGAAATGGAAAGCCGTCACCTGACTGCTGTGGTGCAAGCCTACACCTTGTCCCATGTTGCTTCTCCTGAATCCGTTTCCGTCTTTCTGCGCGCCAGCTTTGACAAGAGCCGCGAGCTGGCGCCCGAGGAGCTTTCGGCCCTGCTGGTGAGCTATGCGACCCTGCGAGTAGGATCTTCCTTTGCGGGGCATGTGCAGATTGATATCTTGGATCGCCTAGCGCAGTTCTCGGCCGTTCACTTCTCAGAGATCCTCTGGGCGTTTTGCGCCCTGCGCCACCGGGACGCGCACTTCTTCGCGACGCTGCTCCGGCTCCTCACGCCGGGCGGCGTGCGGACCGCGCGGGGCGCGGTGCTGCTGTGCCCCGCGCTGTTGGAGATCCGGACCTACTTCCCGTCATTGGATCCGGAGGGCCTGGAGCGGTACACGTCCTATGTGCGGGAGCCCTTCTGCAGAAGCCAAATGCACAGTGCCGCGCCTGAGGTGGCGCGAGAAAGCTTGGCACGTTCCTTGAGCAAGGCGGGCATGAAGAAGGTAGAGCAGCTGGTCGACATCGATGGCTATGTCGTGGATGTGTTGGTGCCTAGTGATGGCAATGAACTGGACAAACCTGTAGCTGTACAATACCACTCAGCACCGCGCACTCTGCATATGGCCACTGGTGAACCGCTGGGGCAAACCATGATGAAGCAGCCCCTTGGTGAGGGGTTTTTGAGACACCACACGCTTGGTCCAAGCTGTCCAAACCTAGAGTCATTTGTTACTAGTAGCTTCTATATAGCTACTAGTAAGTAGTAATGCCCTTGTTACTAGTAGATGATGCCTTGTTACTAGTAGCGATGCATTTGTTGCTAGCAGCTTCTTTTTACTAGTAGTAATGCCCTTGTTGCCTAGAGTGCATTCTTTCTTTTGTTTTCGGTTGATGTGGCTAGCGTTTAAAGGTCCAACGAGGCTGTTGATGTTTGAGGGCTACACCATGTAGCCAAGGAGATACTTGCGCGCCCATGGAATGTGTGTTGTGAATATTTTGGACGAGACATGGGATTCTATGGACTGCGAGGAGCAGGCGCTAGACCTGGCACAACAGATTCAGCGAGCCCAGAAACAGCCCACCGGAAAGAGCTTTGTTGGTCCGGCCCATCGACCCAAGGAATGAGACGACTTATACATCCAAAGCTGTCGGGTCCCACCCTGATGTATCATGCAAAGGTGACTTTTTTGGGTTCTAGAGGATTCTCATGCGCCAGGTGCACGTTCTTTTTCGATCAACGATGCAAGGTCCGGACTGGGTGTTCAGTCTCGGATTCTGCTTGAACGCCCTGGTGACCTTGAGGAGGCTTGCCGCACCAGCGAGATGCGAGTTTGAATGATGGAATCATTGGAATCTCTACTGAGCATGAGGCGTGGCTGGAAGTGCTGCCACTTGGGAGTGCAAAGGACAGTATACATGGTCTTCTTCTGCAATGTTGAAGCTCCGTTTGGAGCATTGAACATGTACTCATTGGATGTCTTGTCGTCCCACAATTGTGCAAATACAGCCTTGATGGGACGAAGATGATACAACGTGCAAAATGAGAAGGACAGCTAGCAGGTCAAGCAGTGAAGGCGTTTACACAGTGGTTTGTGAACTGAGCAAGTGGTTTCAGCTTTGCCACCCTTAATCTTGCATTTGATCTTGATGCTCTCCTGACCAAGAGCTGTTTTCTCGAATGGACTCGGCAATGCAAAGACTCCGTCAGATAAATTTGACCAGACACGAACTATATATTATATTTCTAAATCTCAACCTCAACCCTGCTTCAGACCCGGCACTGATCCTTTCCAATGAAATCTCTTTTTCCTCCTTTGAACCACTCAGAACTTGGAATCACGAAGCAACTCAATGGGGGCAGAGCTTGTCCGCCGCGGCCCTTGCCCGTCGCGCCCCTGCCGGCTTGATCCCGCAGCGCCTTTCTCCCCCCATCTATATAGATTGACAGCTTTGAGCCATGTCCTCACTGATCACGGCCGGGATGTCGGGGACCTGGCCACCCCACGAAGCCCACCCGGCGGCCGGTGACACCGATGGCCGAGGGCGGACGTTCGATGGTGACTCGATGGCCCGAGACACAGCGGTTAAGGTCTGAGATGCGTGCCATCTTCGGCATGTCCTCCAGTAGCAGGGCAGGCAGAGCGACGTGAGACGTGTCCTTCAGCGCACCACTTGGACACGAAGTGCTGAGGTCAACCTTTTGGAAGGTCTGAGGTCGACGTTTGGAAGGTCTGAGGTCTGCAGGGTCGATTCCGTATCCAGGGCCAAAACTTTTCTAATTTTTTAGCACACTTCGTGGTTTTTGCCAGTTTGGGATGCGCGCGGACCCATCCATCACCCCATCACCAGGTCCTTCGCCAGCGCACGCGAGCGGCAGCACGAGCGGCAGCGGCAGCGCCGCTCGCGGCAGCGGCAGCGGCGGCAGCTCGGTGTGGGTGGCTGGCTTGGGAGCAGAACCACGGATCTCAGAGAAACAGTGATTGAAATCGCTTCTCCCAAGCCTACCCAGCTTCTCCCAGCTCAAGCTCCACTGGGACTGAAATCTTGGGAGAAGCTGGGGAGGCTATGGTAGGCTTGGCTTTGAACTCTTGCTTTCACTCAGATTTCAATCGATCCGCGATCTGGTGAGCTAAGCTTGGAACCGAGAGAGAGAGAGAGGATGTCCTATCCCATCTAGATCTTGCACGCGCGAAGCACTGCCCAGACAGACTCTGTCTGTCAAAATGTCTACATATGGCTGACATGGCTTTTCATGCGACCGGACCCCCTGCATGAGGACCGCTCTCCCATGGGTTCCCATGTGAGGTCGATACCCAGAAGCAGCTGCCCGCAGGCTCGAGCAGGTGGGGGTGCATTTATCACTATGATTCATGCTGAAGAAGTCCCTCCAAACAGGTGCCTTAAGGGATTGTCACTCCGATTCCAGTAGATCTGAGAAAGAAACAGCATATATAGAATACACCTTTCTGAGGCTTTCGAAGAGGATGAAATGGGATTACATATTGAAACATGAGCAAGTGAAGAAGACTTCCCTTTTGTGGACCGGACCCTGACCCCACCGACTTGCTGAGGCGCACCGGAATCATGAGCGACAGGCCAGGCAACCCATCGCTGATTCAGCGCCGGATGTCCGTCTGGTCATCCTTATCTTCCTTGTCATCGCTCTGTGACCACTATCGGGAAGATATGCATACAACATGTATTTAGATATGCATATATCACCAGAGATGTGTTGAGAGAAGAAGGCCGATCCGGCCCCACGGACATCCAAAACGTGTTGGCTCGGTTGGCCGCACCTCGTCTTCTAAAAGCCGCCGAGGTGCGGCTCGGTGGTCTTGGCCTTGGCCCGATCTACGAGACCTTGATCGTGGACCTAGGGGTGCGGCTGACCCCGCGGGCGAGCAAATACCCGCGCGCGCTGATGGACCTTTGGGATCCAAGACCAATGTAGAAGTTTCATCCTTCTTTTGACAAAACTTTTTGCAGGGGAGCTTTGGAACTGCTTATTTTTGGAAAGATGGATCGTAGATGGTCGGCGCGGTTCACCTGCCAGAAGAGTTCCAGGGACTAATTTTTCCAGCATGTGTCACTACTAGCTACGAGCCCTTTTTCTGTTATATAAATGCAGTTTTTGGATTGCCTGCTCGAAGTTTGGTGATGCAAGGAGTGCTCTCCAGCATGCTTCACATTTGTGGTTTTGTAAAACCAATCCAACAATTCCTATGGATAGTCTCACACAGCACGCAAGAGATAACATTGCACACTCAATGTCACTGAAAGGACCTGGGAGGAGTGCAGCAAACATAACCTGAGACTTTACAGGTTGGTCTCTAGAGGTTTTTGGGGGACACCGTCCAGCAGGGAGATCTATTTTCTTGTCATTTTGTGTTTTTTGTTTGTCGGATTCTGCATTCTGGTTTTGCGCATGACTCAGCCCACCCTCTTAGTATTTTTGTGGACGACACGCAGGGAAGTGGCGAGCGCCCTGTGCAGAAACGAGTGGGTGGTGGCAAGTGTTCGCCCCAGTCCCGTCCAGAGTTTTGACTTCGGGAGTCACGGGTCGACGTGCTTGGCGGGATCCGAACCAAAGGACCAGAGAATCGAGACACCGTGCAGCTGTTGGACTCAGTCGGCGCCGACCGGATGTGCTTGGTGAGGCGAGATGTGCGAAGGGTTGAAACCCCTGCTGGAGCGTCAGAGGTGGGACACTCCGAAAGTGCGAAGTGCTGGGCGCGCACGCGATCTGAGCAATTTCACTTGCAGGTTCGGGTCCATGTTGTGCGAGATCGTGGCTGGCGGATTAGTGATGATCACGTGGCAGGTGTTACAGAGGAAGCAGCACTCTGATCAGGTGTTTGCCATATTTTCAGCCTGCGAAGCCATCCAAACGAGACTCGCCATTATGGGGATTTCGTCATTACGACTGCCTCGCAGGAGCGGCTCTTCTCGCTGGAGGATGCTCCCCTACCACCACCACCACCTCCGCCTCCGCCCGCGGAATTTCTAAGCACCCTGAGCATAGTTGTTTGGGCTCTGTGACTTTTGTATCACGGAACGTGGAACAGTTGAACTCCAGGTACATTTCACGCACCCACTGCAGAGGATCTGGAGGAGTCGGTCGTTGGGCTGATCATTTTTGAGATCCCATCGGCCGTGTGTTTGAGAGGAGAGAGCTGCCAGCATTGCCCAACAAGATATCCAAGGCTTGGTGGGGCCTAGAGCTGAGGTCAACTTTGATGCAGCTTGCAACTTGAACATGTTGGGAATCATATGGGCTGCAGATTCACTTCAACGTACCCGTATTGCCATGCTGCCATTCGGAGGGTAGAGGAAACGAAGGTTTACATATCTCATAGTAGTTTGTCATATTCCCCGCTTTCACTCACTCACTCACTCACTCAGTCAGTCACTCACTCACTCACTCACTCAGTCAGTCAGTCAGTCAGTCAGTCACTCACTCACTCAGTCAGTCAGTCAGTCAGTCAGTCACACTCACTCACTCACTCACTCACTCAGTCAGTCAGTCAGTCACTCACTCACTCACTCAGTCAGTCAGTCAGTCACTCACTCACTCAGTCAGTCACTCACTCAGTCAGTCAGTCACTCACTCACTCACTCAGTCACTCACTCAGTCAGTCACTCACTCACTCAGTCAGTCAGTCACTCACTCACTCAGTCAGTCAGTCACTCACTCACTCAGTCAGTCAGTCAGTCACTCACTCACTCAGTCAGTCAGTCAGTCAGTCACTCACTCACTCAGTCAGTCAGTCAGTCACTCACTCAGTCAGTCAGTCACTCACTCACTCAGTCACTCACTCAGTCAGTCAGTCAGTCACTCACTCACTCACTCA